CAAGAATTTGAAGAAATTGGTTGAAAATAGCTCATAACGTGCAAACAGCATCTGTTTGAAAATGCATATATTTGTTCACTCTTGCTTTTTAGCTGTGAGAGAAAATCCAAGTTGCGTGGTGGTGTGGTTTTTTTGTTTTGTTTTTGTTTTTTGTCAAATTCATGACCACATGTTCTAAAAATGCTTACTATTGCTATTACAGCCTTGTCTGAATTTCCCTAGTGCACAGTCACAAGTTTGCTGTATCATTGGTTCTCCCAATGTTCTGCTCTAATATGCTCTGTGGGCCACTGCAGAATGTCTTAAATGCCCCTCACCCCTCTCCCCTCCTCCCTTCTGCTTCTACATGCCCAGAAAGCCAAGAGATGTACAGATTTATGGAAAAACAACAGACGTGAAGCCAATTCTGTACCTTGAGTCTCCTCTTTACTCTTTGGAGTCCTTTCGGGGGAGGAGGGAGTACCCCTGCTCTAATCGTCTACTTCCGGTAATGGTTTGACCCTCTCTTGCAAGAAAACCTATCCCTTCTTAAAAGCAAGATCTGACAGGTCTTCCTGCTTTTCTCTCCACCTGAGGATTTTTTCCATTTCCTCTTCTGATAAAGGGTCATTAGAAGTTAATGGCTGAGCCTGTCAGCTCCATGGAATCAACAGGATAAAGCTGTTTAGTTTTGTCGATGGCTCTGTTACAGATTCACAAATATAATCTTTCTTCTGCATTAAGATGGGAGTTTTAATTTATCCTGAAGTTTATGGTCAGAAATGGAGTTATGAAAATCTGTGTAAATTTAGGAATCTCAATCTGTTACAATTGCCTACAATTTTTTTTTTTAACAGTATTATTTGTAGTGGGATACACCCCTTGTCAATTATTCTGGGTCCACTGTGATGTCCGTAACATAGGCATGGCCTCAGAACAGAATGGTCCCTTGAAATGTGTGTGAACTACTTTTGCTAAACAATCTGTTCCACCTTATATTGAGCTGTGACAGTCTGGGTAAGTCTCTGCTGCAGTTTTAAAACTTGCAGCTGGCCCATGTCAACTGACTTGGGCTCACAGGCTCAGGCTGAGGCTTTGTTTCAATTGCGATAAAGACGCTTGGGTTTTAGCTCAAGCTCTGGGACTCGCTTCTCAGGGTCTAGAGCCTGAGTTCCAGCCCAAGTCTTAAAAGTCTGTACCGCAATTAAACAGCCTCTTAGCCTATGCCCTGTGAGTCCAAGTCAGCTGGTGTGGCTCAGCCATAAGTTTGAATTGCAGTGTAGACATTAGGCATGTGAAAGGTTGACTGGTTAACTGGCAAGCATCACCCTAAATAGGTAATGCTTACCGGTTCTGGTTAACTGGTGGGAGCTTTTCCAGCTCCCTATCTGCTGTATGTAGGGGCCTGCTCCAGTCCCAGATGGTCCTGTGGACAGGGGCTGCACTGGTGTCAGGAACAGCAGGCCCAGGTGCCTCACAGGTAGAGCCAACCCCAGTCACAATCCCACTTAATCAGTTAACTGTTAACCAGCTAACTAAGGGATTTTATATCCTTAGAAGACGTACCCTCTAATTATGTTTTCCAGACCTGAAGAACAGCTCTGTGTAACCTAAAAGCCTTTCTCCCCAAAAGAACCTGTTCCAGGAAAAGATATTGTCTCATTTGCCACATCTTTCTATATCCAAATGACAACTAAGGACTGCCAACAGTTTACAAAAGAGTGATCGTAAACAGCAAGGAGGGCGAGGCACTTGGAATAGTACAGTTGGGTGATGATTGGGAACGGATAAAATTAAAAAAAGTGTTAGTATGATTATCAGGATGTGGGTTAATCACCTAGAGAAAACTATAGATGCTCCGTCAGTTGAAATTTAAACTAGAAAACACCAGGTTAAAAAATGTATACTAGAGAGCAATCCTGCATGGGCATAAGGACATACAAGGTGCTCATTCTAGCTCAGCAATTTTGGCCTTGATGTACTAAGCATTGGTTTCTACGTAGTTTGTTCTCCTCTGCCACTCTCATCCCAAAGGAATGGGTTATTTTAGCAGACCATTTCTATTAATGTTGTGTAGGGTTAATCCAATACTGCCTACAATAAGTGTACAGCCTGCAATTAAATTTTATTGGATGAATTTTGCGACTAATTTAGGAATAGATTACTATTTTTGTAGTATTGTCAGCCCCGTTCTCTGACTCAAGTAAGCAAACAATTGAATGCCTAGAATTTGTTCAATTTGAATTTGAATTGTTGCACCTTTTTATTGGGATCCCTTGATATACCCTCTTCCACTCAGTTATCATAACTGTGGTTTGACTCTGAAATTTGTCAGTTACCTTTTATTTGGCATACAGTTTGTCAGGCTCAAACATAGGGAGGGGATGTAGGGTACAGCCCAAATCCGAAGCTATACAGTAGATCTTTTCCTTGTATACTTAGCAATGCAGTTGTAAGTAAAGATGTATCTATTACATCACACACTTCAAAACTGCCATTGACAGCATGCTCTGTCAATGTGAGGTTAATGTATAACTCAGTATGATGGGTTGGGTTACAGAGATCCCCTTGATTGTCACCTGATGTGCTGATCATTGCACTTGGCCTGCATACCTCCTCTCTGGGGCACCTCATCACTCTGTCCTGCTGGGCCAGAGGTTCTAGTCTCCCCCAGTAAAGACACAGAATTGAGGTAACTGCTCCCCAGCAAACACAAACACTGACAACTCTCAGCTCTTGGAGAGCTCAATGACAGGAACTTTACAGCACCCAGGAGCACAGAACCAATGGGACCAAAACCCCAAATAAATTTCTTATTCTGTATGAAAATTTTACATAGAGCTCATCAAGTTCAATCTCTTTATTAATGAAAGCGAGATACACAGCTGTTGTCCCTTCCCTCCCTGTCCTGGTAACAATTATTTACACTGGGTTTGATGATAAAATCACTTCTGTTAAAATATAAAAAGTAGGATTAAAGTGATTGTAAGTGTGATGAATGGAGGAATGCTATCCCTTTCTAAATATCCCAGCATTCAGTTAACAAAGGGTTAAACCCAGGTAGCTAGGAAATGTTGGCAGGGAGCCAGGAGTACCAGTGAGAAGGAAATGGGCAGGAAGTGTTGAGATTTGAAAAGGGAATCTGCTTGCTGCTTCTCTTTGTGGAAGTTTTAAACCAAGAGTTTGAGGGTAGGGAGGAAGATGTACTGAATCATAGTGATACCCATACCCAGAAAAATAATACCTGGCTCTTACTACATTAAAAATGCAGACCCACAACATGGCGTAAGTCGGGACTGAGCAGTCCTGACTTGCGCCAGGTCTGGGACCATGGTGGCTCTGCATTTTAAATTTTGATTGAGCTGAAACCAATTTTCTTTTGTGGAGAATTTTTTAAAAAGTAAACATTTCCTTACTCAGGATTATGGCAGAACCAGTTTAATTCCATAGTTAATATCTGGCTCTGTTCTCCACTATAAAAGGATTAATGCCCCCCCTTACTTATGCAAAATATGGTATATTTGCGCCAAAATTTTGGCACCTAATCTGAGCAAAGATGGAATTTTCTGTAATTTCCAATCCTATTAATTGGCTTCTGAGTTTTAAGCAACTAAAATCTTTAAAATGTTAATTCATAGTCTAATTTAATTTGGGGAGGGAAGCTTAAAAAGAGCTTAGAAGGCCAAAAAATGTGTATCTAGTCAGAAAATTTTGGTGAGCTATTTTAGTTGGTCTGGTGTGCTAATGGTAAGAATGGCAAAGAGTTTGCTGAAGGCTGACACCTTTAAAGGTGGTAGAGTTCAGGTTTTAGTGTGATGAGCTCCAGTGGTGAGGGGTGCTTCTCTAGGTGGAGCAGAGAGGAGGTACTGTCAGATTCCTTAACTTTCTCCTTTCTACACATAGTGTTTTTTTTCTTGATATGTACAAACAAACCTGAACATACCAGAAAATGTTTGTGTATTGCTAAATTATAACTTAAGTTAAATGGGGGGGACCCAAGTTCTACTATTATTAAGCAAAGGCTAATAAGTCAGCACAGACTAAATGCTTGGGGGTGTGCATTCCATTTAAGATCAAGCTACAGATTGAATCTCTCTGGTCCAGGACCCTCAGAACCTAACCACTCCTGAACCAGGAAATGGCCAAACCAGGGGAGGTCAAGGCCAGCTGCTGGGGATCCATGCCCAGCAAGACTCCTGGCCCCAATCTGCCTGTTTTTCCCTGAGAGTTCTCCAGCCCCAGAGCACCCACAGGGTTGCCAACGATGCTGGGCTAGGGGTGTTGATGGACTTGGAAAGTCCGGATTACAGAGGTTCAACCTGTAGTATTGTTCAGTATTTTTTTCTTTTAATTTACAAGAGAAGCTATCACAATAAATGATTTGTAAGATTATCTAGTTTCATATTGACTTATGTATAGCTGTGGTTACCTTAACATGTAATAACTTCAGATTAGTATTACTTTTGTATCCCCTTTTTTAAATGCTCACTTCACAAAACATTCCTCCTGCATGAGTCAGAGTAGAAATGTTTCCTACAGAATAGCAAAGGGAACTGCTTTTTCTTTTGCATTTAGCAGTGAAAGACGACCTGCTAAAAATCAGAGTATGGTCTTCCACTTTAGTTCTACAAATAAGACCTGCATGCCACAGACACTGGTTTATTTGTTGCTTGCTGAGATGTAATTTTTTGGCTGTAGAATGAGATGATTGCTGTTTGCCTTCTGCCAAGAGCTATATAGATCGCAGATCCTGAGTTGTGGGGGTGGCTTTGTTTTTAGATGCATTTTAAAGTTTTTGCTGGAAGCACATTTTAGCAGTGACATTTTCAAGTTCAGATGCATATTGTGTTAAGAGTTGTATGGCGTGTCATTTGTGTTGCTCATCCCACACCCTCTTTTCCTCCCACCCAACCATTTCTCTTCATGGTTATGTATCATGAAGTTCTGTTGATATTTTCCAATGTTAATGCTGAATATTTAAGTGCAGAATATTGTCACTGATAGATACTTTCCGCCCATAGGCTCGGGTGATGTATGACTTTGCAGCTGAACCTGGAAACAATGAGCTGACCGTTAATGAAGGAGAGATCATCACAATTACCAATCCGGTAAGAGAAATAAAATGGAAACCAGGCTACAATGCTCTGACCTACTTCTAGGCGTTAGTACAGAAAAGAGAGGTAGAGTGGCATCTAATGGAAAAGCTCTTGCATAGTCTCCTTTCTTCCCTCTAGGGAAAAGACAAATACATTTAAATCCAAGAGACTATTTCAGTGATGGTATGGCTTAATTTAAACTAGGAAAAGCAAGTTCAGAGGACAATTAGGCATGACTCTACTTCTTTGTACCTAGGCATTTGTACCTAGTTTCTGATCACTATTGTCGTCTTGTACCATCTGTACTTCAGTGCCGTGTCACAGGAATATGCTAATGACAGATACACCATTAAATCTGAATTTGTCCTTTTTGGTTGAGGTAGGTACTCAGCATATTTTTGTAGTTTCCTTTTTGCATTGATTATTATTTATATTTAAATCAGCCGAGTAGGGAACCTCGGGCACACCAGCTGTATGCAGTGTGTCAGGGTTAGCTACTGGTGGGCCGCCAGATGCTTTCTTTACCTGAGCATCTGCTCTCAGTTCATCGTTCCCCGGAGATGCGATCTGCCATACCTACAGATGCTCAGGTAAGCAAAGCATCTGGTTGCCTGCTACGGGCTAACCCTGATGAACTGTATGCGGCCTGCAGGCCAAAGGTTCCTCACCCCTGATTTAAATGGTGATTTTCAAACACTGATGAATTTTGACTTAGCATTGTTCACATTCACATCTAAATGTTAAAATGCAAAGACACCAGTTTGTAGGGAGGCTTTAACACAGCAAAACTACTAATTGACCCTTTTATTGTTAGGCTTGTATGCATGGGGTGGGGAGAAATAAAGACTCTCATCTGGTAAAAGCTTAAGCTTTTGTGCAGAATTTTGTGCTGTCTATTTCCACTAACTTAAATGGGACCATTCAAGTGGTATGAGGTTCTCTACAAGTTCAAGTCTTTATGGAATCAACCATTTTGTTTCCTTTAATTAAATATTTTAGGAAAATTTTTACAGCTCCTTTACCAGCACTACTGGTAACAGTTGAAAAATTATTACTGTTAATTCACTCTTTACTATGTATCGTTTTATATATTTTATGTGTTTGCATTTCACTCATCTTGACAAGTGAAGAACAGACTAGTCCCTTGCTGTTAGCCTATTGCGCTTTGAATCTTGTATTAAAGGTCTATGATGGATTGTTGAAACTCTATTGGAATTGATTTTGCTTCTGTACGAATGCTTTAATTGAAATTTGGCATCCATAAAAAGGAATCCGAACATGTCTATCAGGTTGTATAGAAAACTTTTATTTTGGAATACTAATTAGAGAATGTCTGCACTGCAGTGTAAGCCTGTGTTTGGCTCTGGACTCAAGCCTTGGCGCCCTTATGTCTACACATTATTTGTGCTAACCAAAGGCTTGAACTTAGAGTCCGGGCTGCTGAAGCGTCTGAGCTCGAGTGAAGCTGAGACCCTATAAACAGGCCCTGTTGCTTTGCAGTGTAGACACAGCCCTGCTTGACGTGGGTCCTGGGAGTCAGATAAAAGTATCCTGTAATTCCATGGTCCAACTTCCTTAGTTTTCTCTCTCTCTCCCTCCCAATCTGCAGTCCACTTTGTTGAGGATGGAAGCCACCCTTTCTTTATAAACATCAGTAGCCTAGGTCAGTATTAACTTATTTTATTCTGATTACCAAGCTGCATGCTCCTATTGGAGAATCCCCTGGGTTTGCAATGGAGTGTGGACTGACCAAGACTTTTGTAAAGAAAGCTTCTCCCTGATCACATGTAGGGATGTAATAATGTAATCCAGTGTTTCCCAAATGGCGCTTGACAAATTTCCCTCCCTCTTCCTCCTCCGGTGGTAGGGTTTCCTCGAAATTCTTCGAGTTTAAAAGGGTTCTGTGGCCAAATAAAATTGGGAAACACTGATGTTGTCAATTAACTGATTAACTGCTAAGCAAAAGCTTGTAGGTTAATGCTATAGACTATGTGCATTTCCCTCTCTCTCCACCCTCCTTAAAGTTTATTAGGAGCTGGGCAGGCAGGCAGCTCGGCTCAGTTCCAGTTCATGCTGGGTCCAGGAGCTCATACCTCCTTCCTCCTCCAGACAGGGGCTGCTGCCACCTCGCACTGCTGCCTCATTATCAGAGGCAGCAGCACAGGGCGACAAGCAGCCAGTCTGCCAGGGGAGCTGGTTTTTAAACTGGCTGCCCTTGCGGACTAGCTCCCGCCTGGCACCTTGCGATGCTGCTGTCCCTGTCCCTGGGGACTATAGAATAGTTGACTAACCGATAAGAATTCAGGAGGTTATTTGACTATTCAATTAACTGATATTTAACATCCCTAATAAGGTGCACAATAGGCAGTATGGTTTTCTTACAGTGCAACATGGTTCTAGGACTACAGTAGCCATGTAGAGGGCTGGGCAATAAGGGCTCTAGGATATGGTTACTTTGACTTGGGTCTCTGCACTGCAGTGTGGAGCCAGAGCCCTATGTTCAAGCACAGGTTAGAAAAGCCTTAACGAAGGTTTAAATACTGTGTATACCAGTGGATGACCATTTTCACAGGGGGGCACTTATAATGAATTATGGTATATGGTCATGGCCTGGATCCACCCTTGTAAGGGATGGGGCAGAAGGCTTGGGGCTAGGGACTCTTTTTCCCCCGTCCCCAAGTTGTCTGGGTCCAGAGGATTTGAATTTAAAACACAGCAAAGGGCTTGCAGCTGCTTAGGATTGTTGCGGCTATTTAAAGGACTCATGGCTCTAGCTCCTGTTGGGGTAGCACCATGACTGGGAGCTGTCAGCCATTTAAATAGGATCTTAGTGCCTGACTCACCATCTGGAAATTCAGCAAGATATAAATAGAAATAGGACAGATTCAGTCTGTGGACTGGATCAAAGTGTTAGGTGGTCTGGATCCAGTCCCCAGGCTGCATCTTGCCCACCCTGATGTATACACTCAGGCCCATGGTTCCTTAACTCAGGTTAGTTTGCTTGAGTCCCACAAACCCAGGGCTTACGTTGCAATACAGACATACCGAAAATGTCCAAGCAGCTGTCTTGTGCATCAAGAGAAGGTGGCACTGTGTTTCGTGTCTAAGTTCATCAAGCAGTTCAGTGAATATAATTCCTATTGAAGTCTTTGGAACTAGCAAGTGTTGAAATTCAAGTACTTGCTTAAATGCTTTACAAGAGTCCTAACTGCAAAGAATAGGATGCAGGTGCAGTAAGTATTTTTAAAGTTGCCAGGTGTCTGGACAGTCCAGTATTTGAGCTTTCTGTTCGGTAAACAAATTGAGAAAATATAAATGTCCGGTATTTTCTAATAAGATGTAATATCAAGTGTGTCTGGTATTTTTGTTGAAACCATCTGGCAACCCTAAGTGTTTTCAAAAGGTAGAGTAAGACTTTTGAGAATTTCAGGGGATGGCTTATTTGCTGTCTTAGCTTGGTTCACATTGACCAGGCAATAGATCATTCAAACAAAAAAACCTTCAAAAACTGTTTCAGTGAGTGCTAACTGTGCCTTTGTTGACACACAAATTTGTCATCAATATAAATCTCCATTTACCTGCATATAAACTTTATTGGGTTTTATTTTTTCACTTAATATAGTTTAAAATTGAATATATATTAAAACAGTTGAGATTCAGAAATGTGAGGTTCAACAGGGATTAATTAGCACATAGAAGCCTAATTTACCATGTATGAATCAGCTCATTATACAACCAGTTGCTGAGACACTTGGATTTCTAATAGACAGAGTCTATTCCAGGTCACATTATCCAGGTATCAACCTTAGGGCAGCCTGTATCAAGGAAGCTGACTAAGTATCTTGTTTAATTGTATGTATAATGGTCATGTCTAATGGCTCCACTGAGATCTAGGCCCCCTTGTTTTAGGTATTTTGTACAAACATTTAGCCAGAAACAGTAGAATGAAGCCACGTTACTGTATGAACAGAATGTGATTGTGTGATGAGTCTTTATCATGGTGCACGTGTACAATGGGGATGAGCTATAGTTCTGTGCGCAACCTACATTTTTCAAGTTTATTCTATTAATTTAGCTTTTCGAATAATTTCCTACAATTTTGAAAATTAAATTACACAACAGCTATATAATGTACTCCTGGTCAATATTATCCTCTTATAATGAGAACTGAAGCTCTAAAAGGCTTAAATGAATGAAACCTTGGGCACATTCATACCTTTCTCTCAAATCCCATTTTCAGTTATTGACTTCAAAACATAATTAAGGCATACTTCAGCATCTATCTAGAAAAATGTGTAATTCTTATTTTTACTTTTACTTCTTTAGGACATAGGTGGAGGTTGGTTGGAAGGAAAAAACAGCAAAGGAGAGCGGGGACTTGTTCCAACAGATTATGTTGAGGTAAAAGATCACAATACACCTATATAGAAACACTTGGTAAAGCACAGCTAAAACAGATTCCATGCTTTCATATTTTTTTTAAAATATTGGAATCCTTTAATTCTCTAGACTGTATTTGTATTAAGTTTTGAGGTCAGAGTAAATGTGTCTTCATGTCTATCACGTTTACTGCTTATTTTAAGGATAAAGAGTGGATATAGTAACTTCTGGTAAATTCTGACTTTTCTGTGCTGCCTACTACACTGTTTCTCCTTAAAAGCAAGGAGAAGTTATATGTAGTAGATTATGTTAACCTGTAAAATGTTAATTTCACTGACAAACTACCACTGGTAGCTCAAGAGAAGCAAAAATATGCATAACTTTTTCCGGAATAATCGAACAAGTACAAACATGAGGAATTTTTTTTTTAAACCCTGCTTCTGGTGTAGGTTTTCTTTTTTTGACAAATTATGTAGTGATGCTGTTAACAACAGGCCATTGCATGTCATATGGCCATATAACAATAGACTTCTTGTCTCCATGAAACAATGGGCCATACTTTTGTTAATACTCAAATTTGGTGTATTGTTTAATGCAGGAAATGTACACAGTGCTCTGAATTGTTAATTTATAGCTTATTTTATTGTCTGCACTTAAAGTAGGAATTGTATTAATTTTTAAAATCCTTTAATTTCAGTAGTTCTAATGACCCTTGAGTATAGTTAAGATACCATTTTTACATGCTATAGTTACAACTATTTCCTGTAAGAAATGACAGATGTCTTAAAACAACTTGTCTGTTTTCAGATTCTAACTGAAGGTGCAAAAGATGGATTTTTTTGTGGCAATTCAGTAGCAGACCAAGCTTTTTTTGATTCCCTCTCCTCAAATGCAGCTCAGATCAACTCAGCTGCTAAAACCAATAACCAGGTACGCTGTCAGTTTATTTTTGGCACTGTTAGTATAATGGGTTCTATCGATAATGCTGCTTATGTTTTAAATGGTACTGCACTATATTTATATATGCATTATATCTGGATGGTAAAACCTGAAAATTACAAACACATTGGGAATAGAGAGTTGTCTTTGAACAAAACATAGTTTTCAGAAGCTTCAACTGAACTTTGACTTAATGCAGCTTTGAAACTTTAGAATGCAGAAGAAAGACACTGCTTTCCATTTATTTTTAGTAGTTTACTTTTTAGAAATTAGTATATTTGTGTGGCTTTTTGTTTGTTTTTTTTTTTTTTTTTGCCTCTGCTGCGGCCTGATTGTTTACTTCTAGTTCCAATTGAGGTGTTTGGTTGACTGGTCAGTTCATAACTCTGGTGTTTGTAACTCAGAGTTTCTATTGTAAGTCCTTACAAAAGCATGGAAAAAGCAATTGAGAGAAGTATCTAAATTTTTCTGAAGATTAAAAATCATCTTATTCATCCATGTGTAATTTAGAAATGCAGCTGGAAAATTTAGCATAATTTTGACAAATTAGAAATAAGAAAATAAGAATTTTTTGGTTTTTTTCTGTATGAATAAAGCAAAATCATAGAAATCTATGAACTAAACAAAATCTATGTTTTCTTCTGATCTTGTCAGAGTGTATGCCTCTACTAGCTTTGGCTATTCGCAGCATCTGCTTGTAGAATTAAAACTTCTAAAATCCGATATTCTGACTTAGGTAAAAGAGCTCTACCTTCTTTTTTACTTGTTTTTGTAATGCCATGCAAGATTGGCGATGTAGAAATTGTATATGTTACTATCAAAATAATTTTTTGACACACTCCAAAGAAAAGGTTTTCTTTTTATTTGGCATGGCTGGATCTGATATTTGTTGTAGGATTTCCATAATTTTATAGCAGGTCAGTTCAGGATTTAAAGGACTACTCAGCAGCTTGCCATTGCCATTTTGTTACTCCATTTTTGACAATGTACTTAACTGTCTGCAGTGGTATTCTAATGGACACGGCGTACGACATTTTGTCTTGAATTATGAAACTATTGTGTTCTGCACTCCATTTTATTACTGATTTTGGTGTTGTAATGGCAGCTTGCCTGTCAAGCAATGTTTTAATATTGAAGGCCCTAATTGAATTGACAATTAGGCAATTGAATTGAAAGGATCATTCAAATTGAACTGAAAGAATGATTTGTCAAAAAATTGCAGCTGAATTGCAGACAAGCCATGGAAGATTGAAGAAATGTAAGTGGGCCTTGTTACTGCAAATAATGAAGGGCCATTACAGTAAAACTCCAATAGTCCAGCACTCCTGATAGTCCAACATCAAAATGGCAAGAGCTTAGTGAGTGAGCTTCAGCAAAAAATGAGTCACAAGGTAGCAGCAGCAGCAGCTGAACTGAGCAAAAAGGGTAAAAAAGGCTTAAAAAAACTAAAACATTACAGTATACAGTATGTACAATAAAAAGGGTTAAGAACACTTTATCTACAGCATATAATGTATACAGTACTGTGTGTGTGTGTGTGTGTGTGTGTGTGTGTGTGTGGGTGGGTGTGTGTGTTGGGGTGTGGGGGTGTGTGGGGGCTATATAACCTGCTTATAGTACCTCCTGATAGGTGGTGCCGGATTATCAGATATGCCGGACTAAGTCCCATAGTTTCCGGATTATCAGAAGTCTACTGTATTAGTTTTGTGTTTCCATTGTTGACTGCCTAGGGCTGGGCCAGAGAAAGGCCACCCATTGCTCTCACTGTCAAAACAGCAGTAGAAACATAACCTTGTGGAATCTGCAATTGCCTCAATATTGCAAGCTAAATGGAGCCTTACTAATATCTTTTTTGAGGGGAGGGGAGAACAGCCATGTTTACAAATAAAGGCTTTTTATTTACAAATTTTATTGCTATCACATCATATGATGTTGATTCTGAAGAATGAAGATAAATGTAATAAGATGCAACTAGGAAGTTGTATCCAAACAATTTCTCAGTATATCTGTTGAGATCAGTCGATAATGAAAACCCAGAATTCATGTCATGCAAACTACCATCCCTCCCTTCCATGTTACATAAGCTGTCATTTCAACCATAATTAACAATTCATGCCAATTCATACACATAGCGGGTATTTTACTTACAGTTAAAAGTAATATACAAGTGCATACACATACTATTCTTCCTCTTCCATTGGTCCAGGGGAGTGTATAATGTGAGTTCACAAAGCATAGCCTGTGTGCATCCTGCTCCAGCTGTGACAAGCATGCTTTTTGGCTGTGTGTGCTGATTCAGCAGTCCATTATTGTCCTAGATATGTTTGGGAGCAAATGGCTCACCTTTGGAATTCACAAAGCTTGTGAGAAGCACAATGCAGACAGCACTGATGATACTGGATTGCAAATGGTTCCAAAACCTATGCCAGTGGGATTTCAGTGTACCCAACGCATGTTCGAGCACCATTCTACATTCACTCTTAGTATAGATCTACAAATCGCCCTCAAGCCCCCACTTCCTCAGTGTAGAGATTCAGCAATCTCTATACCCTCTGAGCAAGGTGTAGCTGGACAGGCTCAGCCCAATAGTATACAAGTGTAGTGCAGGGAGTGGGGCTTGATGGGGTGGAAGGGTTACTGGGGTGGGAGCATCTAGGAGGCCTTATCAGAGGGGTCCAGGTGTAGGGGGGTAGGGTTTGTCAGGGTGAAGGTTCGATGGGTCTGCTTAATGAGGAAGCCTAAGCTACTGCCAAGGGGATGTTGCATGCCAGGCTCCTGTTTCCCCCTGTGATTCCCCTTTCCCCTTTTTCTTCTCCCTGCCACTATTTCCCTCCCTCTGTCCTATTCCACCCCTGGCCCCGCCATTCTCCTCACCCCTCTACCCAGCCCCATTACAGGCACTCACTGTTCCACAGAAAATAGCAAGGGTCCTAGCCAGTACACAGAAGGGAAGCACAATTTGCCCTAGGACCAGGAAGCTGCATTTAGCTAGATGATGCAGCCTTCTTCCACTGGGCATCTCTGTGCTTGCAGAAATGGGGGAGCAGTGACGCACAACAGAATGTGCCTATGCCTTGCCTTAGTTTGGGGGGAAATCCCCCACCCTCAATACGCCACACCTGATTGTACCCACTTGCTTTTGCCTCCCTCCTCCATGTGGCTTCCTTTTTGTTTCTCCATTGTTTTCTTCAAGAAAACGGGAAATTTGCAGGGATGAGGGTATTTTCTGTTGGCAGGCAGGCAGACAGAATCCCCCTAGTAGTAGTATACACTGAGGCTACAGCTACACTACGTGCTTTGCTGGAAGAGGCAATGCCAATGAAGCGCGGATTAGTATTTTCTCATGCTTCATTTGCATAATCTCTTCTGGTCCATTTTTGCGCAAGCGGTTTTTGCTGAAAAACAAGCAGTGTGGATGTTTTTCTTTGTGCAAACCCCTCCCAGGGGAGGCATAAGGATCTTGCTCAAAAAGGGGTTTTTGTGCAAAAAGGACATACCAACACTGCTTGTTTTTGTGCAAAAACCTCTTGTGCAAAAACAGACCGGAAGAGATTATACAATGAAGTGCGAGAAAATGCTAAGCTGGGTTTTATTTGCTTTGCCTCTTCTGGTAAAGTGCGTAGTGTAGCCATAGCCTGAGATTTAAGAATCAACCATTAACCTTGGTAGGTAGTTCCCATAGCTAATCCCTCTCATCACTTCATACATTTGAACATGGTTTTTACTTTGACTTTGTTTGGCTTCAGCTTTTGTCTATTAGTTCTTGTTATCCTTTTCTCCACTAGATTGAAGAGCATTGTAGTACTCTTTTCCCTCCAGGTATTTATACGCTATTATCACATCACCCCTCTTCTTTTTGATCTACTGAACAGATTCAGCTATTTAAGTCTCTTATTGCAATACATTTCCTCCAGCCTTCCGGTTATTTTCATTACTCTCTTCTATATGCTCTCCATAGGAACAATTACACTACTTAAAATTGTAAGATTTTAATTAAACATTAATGCAAATAAATGGAATGAACAGCATTTCTGTTCTTGTGTCTTCAGTTTTAAGTTGATTGAGACAGTACAGCTTGTACTGCTCTCCCTAAACTGTTTACTTGACTACACACTGATGAAGAAATGCATCAGATGGTTCCAGGCTCAATTTAAAATTTTAAAAGACTTGACTGAATATTTCTGTACTCAATAGTATCTAATAATAAATATTAATACCCCACTCCCCAAATGGAATGTTTCTTCTAAATACAGTGCTAGCAGTTTTGTTTGGCTCTCTATAAGATGCAAATACAGACAATTCTTACTCTGTAAACTTTGCAATATAAACAAGACAGATGTGGAATAAATAGTAAGCTCTGAAGAGGGATGACTCATATTTTAAAGGGGCTGTTGATTTGTGAGCAGTCTGGAAGAAGTTTGTCTGGGGAGCCTGAACAGACAGAACATTTCATGCGTAAGGGGCATTTGGAAAAAGATGGAGATGGTTGTGGGTTAAAAAGATGAATGGGACGTTGAGGCTGGCAGTACTGGCAGAGCAAAGGGAGATTGCTGTGATTGTACAGTTTAAGAAGAGGTGACACGTGGTGCACTGAATAAAAATGGCATTCTTAAATAAAGCATTTCATGTGGTCTGTTATATTCATAAAGGCTTTTTAAAAACAAAATATTCTTAGGTAGTTACTTTTTTGGATCATTTTACTGTATTCAATGAAATACTTTTCTTCATTAAACCTTAACCATTTAAAATAACATGCACTTACATGGTATATAACTATCTAACACTGGTTCTCAGTCACTTTCAGACTACTGTACCCATTTCAGAAGTCTGATTTGTCTTGTGTAACTTCTTCCTCCTTCCCTTCCACCCCCCCTTGCAAATTTACTTCACTTAAACTGCTTGCTTTCAAAATCAGACCTAAAAATATAGGAGTATGACAGCACACTTTCTGAAAAATTGCTTTTCTCGTTTTCACCTTGTAATGATAGAAT